TATTTATTTGCTCAGCATTTTGGGTGCCTGTCAGGGAGAACACTTTTTAGTTTCTTGTCTTGCAATGTCTTTGGGTTTGATATAAGGGTAATACATATCAAGTGTTTCCTCTTATCTTTCAATACATCTACGTAGACTTGGCATTATTTCTTCTTTAAATTTTAATAGAATTCCAGTAAAACCATCTGAAGACATTTTTAAAATATGAATTCAGTCTCTTCACCAGACAGGGGACAACTTGGGTTATCAAGTACTTGAATGTGATTTGGTATTTTTGTCTGTCATGGACTTTCTCCCATTCATCCAGGTCAGAATTCTGGAAAATTAGGTAGATTTTATTGTGAATTAGGGGAAGATTTGTAGAAATCATCGGTTTTACATTCAACAGCTCACATACATTTTAACTCATCCATTGCCACCTCCGCAGTGCATCCTCACTTACCCCACTTATCCCTGTTTGTGTCCGTTCCTTCTTCTCCCCTAACCATCTGAACTTTGTCCTTGGGTACACGCTGTCCTTTTAGTTTGAAATGTTTGAACATCCTAACATGAAGGTGTGTTCAGTTCCAGGCCTGAAGGGTGTCTCAAGGTCAGTACACTTTTTCTTAAAAGGGCCGGATGGGAAATATTTTAGATTGTAGTCTATACAATATATCATCCTCAGCCATAAACACATATGGATGTGGTCGTGTTCCAATAAATTTTGTTGATATTTGTTAGTTTTATTTAAAAGAGGAACCTATTTGGACAGAAGAGAACAATTCAGGGTTCAAAATCAATAAAAGTATGTGCCAGGATTGTATTTTGTCACCATATATACGCAATTTCTATGCTGAGCAAATAACCCATGTGAAGAATCATTCATTAGTCTGGTAGGCATGGTTCTGCCTTTGTAAATGATTGTTATTGAAAGTTTTGCCCTAGCATTAACCCACATTGTTTGTGTAGTGTCCAGTCCTACGTTTAAGCTGTATAAATCAAAATTCATGTACTATGGTATAAAAAGTTGGCTTATACATGTTTTGTTTCCTTTTATCAAGTCTCTTAAATTCTATACTATTGGCTAAATTAGTGCCACTATCAATAATATCATAGTATACCTCAGAGATTATTTATAATGTTCT